TAGAGGAGAACATCGGCAGTAATCTCTTCGATATCATCCACAGCAACTTCTTTCAAGATATGTCTCCAAAGGCAAAGGAAACAAAAGCCAAAATAAACTTTTGGGACTTCGTCAAGATCAAAAGCTTCTGCAGAGCAAAGGAAACAGTCAAGAAAACAAAGAGGCAACCCACGGAATGGGAGAAGATATTTGCAAATGACAGTACAGGGAAAAGGTTGATATCCAGGATCTATAAAGAACTTCTCAAGCTCAACACACACAAAACAGATAATCATATCAAAAAATGGGCAGAACATATGAACAGACATTTCTCCAATGAAGACATACAAATGGCGATCAGACACATGAAAAAATGTTCATCATCACTAGCCATCAGGGAGATTCAAATTAAAACCACATTGAGATATCACCTTACACCAGTTAGAATGGCCAAAATTAGCAAGACAGGAAACAACATGTGTTGGAGGGGATGTGGAGAAAGGGGAACCCTCTTACACTGTTGGTGGGAATGCAAGTTGGTGCAGCCTCTTTGGAGAACAGTGTGGAGATTCCTCAAGAAATTAAAAACAGAACTTCCCTATGACCCTGCAATTGCACTACTGGGTATTTACCCCAAAGATACAGATGTAGTGAAAAGAAGGGCCATCTGTACCCCCAATGTTTATAGCAGCAATGGCCACAGTTGCCAAACTGTGGAAAGAACCATGATGCCCTTCAACAGACGAATGGATAAGGAAAATGTGGTCCATATTCACTATGGAGTATTATGCCTCCATCAGAAAGGATGAATACCCAACTTTTGTAGCAACATGGACGGGACTGGAAGAGATTATGCTGAGTGAAATAAGTCAAGCACAGAGAGTCAATTATCATATGGTTTCACTTATTTGTAGAGCATAACAAATAGCATGGAGGACATGGGGAGTTAGGAGAAGGGAGTTGGGGGAAATTGGAAGGGGAGTTGAGCAATGAGAGACTATAGACTCTAAAAAACAATCTGAAGGGTTTGAAGAGGTGAGGGGGGAGGTTGGGGAAACCAGGTGGTGGGTATTAGAGAGGGCACGGATTGCATGGAGCACTGGGTGTGGTACAAAAACAATGAATACTGTTATGCTGAAAATAAATTTAAAAAATGATTAATAAAAAAAAACTAAGTACAATAAAATGAGGTATGCCTGAAAAAAAAAACATAATAAAGACCATATATGAGAAACCCACAGCTAACATCATATTCAATGGTGAAAACTGAGAGCTTTCCCTCTAAGGTGAGGAACAAGACAAGAATGTCCATTCTTAACCCTTTTGTTCAAAAAGGTACCTGAAGGCCTAGCCACAACAATCAGATGAAAGAACAGAAGGCAGGGTGGGGGAGAAAAGGAAGGAGGGGACGGAATGAGGGAAGAAGGGAAGCTCATATAATTCTTAAGATGTCATTTATTCAACAAATATTTAATGAGGACCAGTAAATACAATGTGTTTTTATCATGTTGATTAATTTGAAGCTGATTAATACCTATTCTTTGTTTTCAAAACTACAATCTGGGAGGAGAGAACAGCTAAGTACACAAATAAGTATAACATAAAGCAGCTGAGGACAAGTGTCTTAAGAATGATACACAGATGGTTAAATAAAAATTCATAAATGGAAAAGTTGCTTTGGTTAGGAGAATAAGAGTACATGTTACAGAAAAATGTCATTTGAAATAGATCTTGAAGGATAGATGAGGTTTTTGCAGGTAGAGATGGAGGTAATAAAGATTCTAAATAGACAAAGAGACCACAAAGAAATGAATATTAGAAGCTGAAAGCTATCCAGAGAATGAAATGCTGTACAATTTATCTATAAAAGGGAGTAAGAAAAGTTAAACAAGAAAAGTAATCTGAAACCAATTTATGAAGAACGTGGAAATTTCCAAATAATAAAACCATTGATGTTTTTTGAGCAATGAAGTAATAAGATCAAGGCGATGTTTTAGGAGTTCCTAAGTCCTGAAGTAGTGTAACTAAGAGGTAATAAAGGTTGAAATACTATTTTTCCCCCTTAGTCTTTCAATGTGAGGAGTTTGCTTTTGGAAATTCCTCAAGTGGTCTGTGGTCCACAGACCCGTGTTCCTATGTCATAGATTCTTGATGTTCTCAATCATTTTATACTATGTAGTATGAGCATTCATTCTCATTTAGGGATTTTAGCCATACTACACAAATTAAGGTAAAAATGGGACACTAATCAATGAAATTAAATACTTGTGTCATATTAATTGGGAAGCCACATGTTACTCTGTAGTATTTAACTCAATTAACTTAAATACTGGCACTTCTTGCTCTTTTTTCTCATATCTAAAGAATTCTGCCATTCTGTTCTTCAAAAATCTACTAACTTCTATAAATTTTTATTTACAATAGCCTACAGTGCTCTGTATCTCAACATTTTCCTCATTTAGGCTTGCTGTACTTTACTTCTGTATCCTCCAACATATGTACAGACATTAGAAGTGTTGGAGACAATGCAGATAAAAGGAAACCCTCTTGCACTGATGGTGGGAATGCAAACTGGTGCATCCCCTCTGAAGAACAACAGTATGGAGTTTCCTCAAGAAGTTAAAAATAGAACTACCCAATGATCCAGCAATTTCACTACTAGGTATTTACCCAAAGGATACAAAAATATAGATTTGAAGGGATATACATGCTCTGATGTTTATAGCAGCCTTATCAACAAGAGCCAAACTACAAACAAAGCCCAAAGACCCATCAACTGATGAATGGATAGAGAAGACGTGGAGTATAATATACAATGGTATGTTATTCAGCCATCAAAAAGAATTAAATCTTGCCATTTGCAATAACATGGATGGAACTAAGTATATATTATATGTGTTGTGCTAAATGAAATAAGTCAGTCAGAAAAGGAAAAATATCGTATGATTTCACTCATGTGTAACACTTAAGAAAGAAAATAGATTAACATATGGGAAGGGGGGAAAGGACAAAATGAGAAAGGTGAAAAAAGCTATAGGGGACTCTTAATGATAGAGAACAAACTGAGGGGTGATGGAGGGAGCTGGATGGGGAATGGGCTAGATGGGTGATAGGTATTAAGGAGGGCACTTATGATGAGCACTGGGTGTTGCATGTAAGTGATGAACCACTGAGATCTGCTCCAGAAATCAATATTGCACCATATGTTAACTACCTAAAAATTAAATTATTAAAAAAAGAAATGTTTCTGAACTTCAAAACTTTTGGTGATTTATACTTTATTTTTCCTCAAATTGTGTCTTCTGGAAACTTTCTGGAATCCATATTCCAGACAAGGAAACCTTGTAATAATGGTGCCTCAAAAGTTATTACTCTTTACTATTTCCTCAGAGAACATGCAATCATTAACTTTTTAAAGATTCATTGCCTTGGAGGAGAAGAATTTTCCTAATGCTATTGAGGCCAAGTCCCACGAGAACATGTGATAAAGTACATTCTTAATTTTTATAAGGCAATAAAACTCTTTATCCAGCTGGACAAAGAAGTATATGGTTCATCAAACATGCTCTTTAGAGATTTGGTAGGTATCAAAATAATGATATCTTTACCTTTTGAGCACTGCAGAAGGTCATAACACCTCTGTGTCAGTCCCTTTAATTCTGAAATTTCTCAGTGTTGGTTCATTAATGCTCCTGGTTTGGAATATTTAAAAAATATATACATACTACAAAAAGAAGCACAAAGACAGCTTCCACCAAATCATTCTAAAAGACTTTTCCAAGTGCTGGTGTGGACAACAGGTTGGAAGAAAAACTGCTTTTTGAAAATTTCGTATTTGTGCCCCAAATGTAAGCCCTCATAACTTTCAGAAATCACATCCCTGCATATTCACACACACACACACACACACACACACACAAAATTCAGGGAACTCAGATCCCTGACATCTTTTCCATAAGCATGTGGATGAAGTACATTTACTTAAAACAACAACAGCAAAAAAAAAAAAAAAAAAAGTATTTGGTTTCTGTTTTCTGGTGCAAATTTTTAACTTAAACAATGATATTTTTTTAAAAAATGCCAAACTTTATGGGAGGGGAAGTCTTCAAAAAATAAACTCCCACACCTAGCTGTTATTTTGCAAACTGTTGCAGGTAAAAGATTAAGTGAAAACTTAAAGCCACCACTTCCAACAGAAGACACTGCAACACTGCAATATTAAAAGTCAATGCTGGTAAGTAACATTATGGTATGACATTTTATGATGCCTAAGCTAACAGCAATAGCAATAGAAATGAGGCATGTTGGCCTTAAAATTATTTGCTATACAACATGTCTATTTATTTTTCATATTTAAATGATATATTGAGCAACATATTTAACTGAGATGTAAATAGTAAAATCAAAACCTTCTTTACGGAGTCTATTGCCCTATAAGATGGGTTTAGGATAAGAAACTAGTAATGTATTAAGTATTAACTTTATGTTTTATGCTATCCAGAAACTATCATACATAGTCCCTGCTCCAAAATAATAAGCTTTACAAAATGAGTTTATCTTGGGGTGCCTAGGTGGCTCAGTTGATTAAATGTCCAACTCTTGATTTCAGCTTAGGTCATGATCTCAGGGTCATGAGATCTAGCCCAGCATTGTACTCCATGCTCAGTGTGGAACCTGCTTAAGATTATCTCCCTTTCCCTCAGCCCCCTCCTCCATCTTTCTCTCTCTCTCTCTCTCTCTCACGCGGGCTCTCTCTCTCTTTCTTTCTTTCTAAAGGAAAAAAAGAATTTAACTTTACTTAGTTCTATCATGGTATCATAATGAGGAAGAGATTCAGAAGCAGGCAAAGTTTGTTTCTGTGCAGCCAGCTGCCTACTATGCCCAAAACTCAGAGTACATAACCAAGAACAAGTAGACTACACTCTCTTCCTAACTGATGATTCTTTTGAAAAATGACCCCATGTTCATTGTCTTTTCTTCATTCGAAAGAGGAGCACATTTAAAACTAGTCCTAACTGATAACAATATGTCTCTTGACCTTGCAGGTTACTGACCCAATGAATGTTTCTGAGTCATATTCCAGCTTTGCTTCTGTAAGAGAATTTATACTCCTAGGTTTTTCTTGTGAGTGGAAGATTCAGATCCTCCTCTTCTCACTCTTCACCACAACATATGTTTTGACCATAACAGGGAATGGGGCCATTGTTTGTGCTTTGTGGTGTGAATGGCGACTCCATGTCCCCATGTACATTTTCCTGGGAAATTTCTCCTTTTTAGAGATTTGGTATGTCTCTTCTACAGTTCCCAAGATGTTGGTCAATTTCCTCTCATATAAAAAGACCATCTCCTTTACTGGATGTTTCCTTCAATTTTATTTCTTTTTCTCTTTGGGAACATCTGAATGTTTCCTCTTGGCTGTCATGGCCTTTGATCAGTACCTTGCTATCTGCCATCCCTTGCACTACCCTAACGTCATGACTGGACACTTCTGTACCAAACTGGTCATTATCTGTTGGGTTTGTGGATTTCTGTGGTTCCTGATCCCCATTGTATTCATCTCTCAGATGCCCTTCTGTGGTCCAAACATTATTGACCATGTTTTATGTGACCCAGGGCCACTGTTTGCATTGGCATGTACCTCTGCTCCAACAATCCAACAGCTTTGCTATACTTTAAGCTCATTAGTTATCTTTGGTAACTTCCTTTTTATCCTTGGGTCCTATACACTTGTCCTATTAGCTGTGTTGCGTATGCCTTCAGCCACTGGGAGACACAAGGCCTTCTCAACCTGTGGGTCTCATTTGGCTGTGGTATCACTATTCTATGGCTCTCTGATGATCATGTATGTGAGCCCAGGACTTGGGCATTCTGCTGGTATACAGAAAGTTGCAACTTTGTTCTATGCTATGGTAACTCCATTCTTCAACCCCCTCATCTATAGCCTTCGGAATAAGGAGATAAAAGCAGCCCTGAGGAAAGTTCTAGGGCGTCTCAGTATAATCCAAACTATACTGAATGATCCTCCCATTATCAGGTCAGTATAGTATCACAAAAAGCAATCAGTATTATATAGTTATTCAAATCTTCAAATATAAGTCTAGTTATGTTAACTCTATCAGCTTATGAAATAAAACATCTATGTGGCCACTTATAATCATAAAGTGGCCGGATTAAACAGATAAATGGAAGTACTGGGTTCTTCTTTGGCACTTAGAGTGTACATGAACTAGGGAATGTACACATCTGGGTGTTTTCTGGGTAGTTCACATGGTTCTTCTGAGACAAAAATTTCTGTGTCCTATTTGATTATTTAGATTAATAGTTCTGGGATCAATTATATTATCTCATTTTGTTTTAGTTATTTATAAATAAAAGGAAAATGTATTTATTTCTGTTTGTGGTTCTTTTCTTATTTGACTCTATTATTTCAGTGATTAGGTTACCCCTGCTAAATAAACCCTAAAAGCAATTATCCAAAATTTCTATGGGACCATAATGTTATGCTAGCCTAATGACACTCAGACATACGTTGTTTGTTTCCTTACACATTACCCCTTTCTAAGCTCCTTAAGGGGCTAATTCTAATTCTAACAACATCAGTCAAAATATTCAGACATACAGTATTCTGAGTTTCAATATTTTTACCTGAACAAAGGTTCATTAGAGCGTACATGTTTTAGTGAACAAAGGTTCACTAAAAGCTTAATTGGTCATTTAATTGTGTTTTAGATAATAGAGTTATCTTCCTAAAAAGTGGAGAGGGAAATGATCTACTTTATAATAAATTACTTAAGTTCAAAAAAATAAGTTGACAGTTCATTGTTATTTGTTGCTGCAACAGTATTAAAAGAACAGTAAGGAAAATTGTTAAGAAATTGTTACAGTGATACAATACACTTTACATTTTCATTTATATGTATGTTTATTTGATATGCCATCAAATTTGTTCCTATATTATACCAAGTTTTTATGACCATTGCTTTTTAGGAACTTTTAGAACTTTAATATTCCATTCAACCAGTATGGTATGGATTGTAAATTTTTATGTGGTGAGATCAATATTTTCTTAGGAGGACTGTTCTTCCAAGTACCTTGAAACTTACTTTTTGCAGGATGTAAGAAAGGGACTTTCCAGAAGGTGGATTAGGAAAAAAATGCATGCCACCAACTATATAATAATGATTGCTTAGATTTATTATCCAAGGATTCAGAAACCCTTCCACCCACCAGCTATAATTTTGTTATACAGTAACTTCCATTCTTTTATCGCAAAAATTAATATCTCAATTAAATCTTCATAAAGTTCTGTCATGATGATGCTTTGCAAGCTAGATTAGGACTCATCATCTAATCTAAAACTGCCTCTGGAACATCCAGGATGTAAGACTACTATATGCATGTATCAATTTTCCCACTGGGGTTTCTATCTTAGAACAGTTACTTGAGAGAGAAAAGGATTGCTCAGTTTAAAATATAAGGCTGCATTTGTGATTTTTGAAATGGACACGCTCTGATTCATATCATGCTTCACTTGATTGAAACTCTTTTTGAATTTTTTTTGCCTCCTTTTGGAGCAACAATTACATAAATTTGATTAGAAAGATATTAAAATATTTTTCATCATCACATTCATTCATTTTTCTTAAGTACCACATGAGGTGCTTTGTTGAAGTTTGGGAAACAAATCTACATTTAATTTTTCCATACACATTCACAAGTTTTGACTAAAATCTTAGGCATTGTAGTGCTTCATTTTTTTGTCTTCTTGTCCTTTTTTTGGTCTTTCAAGGATTTTCTAGCCACTGACTCAGTCTCTCTTGTCGTTTCTTTGGATATAAATATTTGCTTGAATATCAATCTCCTAAAGTGGTGTCATTGAGAAAAGGGTTTAGTTCTTAATTTTCATTACTGTATTCATTTTCTTATTTTACACTCAACACATGCATGGCAGAGTGTGGTACCTCCATACTTACTATCCATTTTTCTTATCTTCCTTCTTAATACAATCTCAATTCTATTCTGGTGGCAACATACCCAGTTTGAAAAATCAAATGTAGCATCCTTTATATAGGAATAATTGTGTGGATGAATTGAGAGAGTATGCCAAAGTGTTTTGAAAGTGATAAAGAGCTTTCCAAGTGAAAAATATTAACTGAAATCAATTGTGTACATACTATGTGTAAGATTCTATTCTGATTATCACAGCCATTCTGTGAGGAAGGTATTATCATTAGCTCTAGTTTAAAGATTTAAAAGGCAAGCAAGAGGGTTGCCCTTTCTCCACATCCTCTCCAACACATGTTGTTTCCTGTCTTGCTAATTTTGGCCATTCTAACTGGTGTAAGGTGGTATCTCACTGTGGTTTTAATTTGAATCTCCCTGATGGCTAGTGATGATGAACATTTTTTCATGTGTCTGATAGCCATTTGTATGTCTTCATATACTGTACGCTGAAAAGAAATTTAAAAGAAAAAAAAGGCAAGCAAGAAAGGATAACTTGTCTATGCTTAAGAAAAATTAATGATTGGGATGATGAAAAAATATTTTAGTATCTTTATAATCAAATTTGTATAATTGCTACTCCAAAAACCAGCAAAAGTTTTTCAAATAGAGTTTCAATCAAGTCAAGCATGATATGAATCAGTGTGTGGGGAACCTTTCCATCTTTGGAATACTAAATTACCCAAACTCAGTCCTGCCTCTGATTTCATGATTTCCTTCCATGTGTTAATGGCTCATATCCTCTGGAAAAGAAGATCTTACCATTCAGATAGAAATCTACCATTCTCTTTCTTCTTCTTTCTCCTCTATACTCCCAACCTTGGTTTGAAGGTCAGATTCCCTCTGGTAAGATTATGGGCTCTTTTTCAGTCTTCCTGATATAGAGAAGCTTAATATTAAGACTACCAGGAAGATGGAGAGGGAAGTCATAGAAATGGTGGAGCTAGTGGGTTGTTCTTATTGCAAAGAAGAAAGAAACTCTCCTGGAAAATGGAGAAGAGTCTTATTCTTTCAAGTATCAGAAGAATATGATACAGAAGTAGTGAGAACCAAAATCCCCAAACCAGACTAGGAAAGAAGAAATCATGAAGTAGAAAAAGTTGATAAGAGGGAAAAGAGAGAAAAAATCATGCAGATTTAGGAGAAGTCACAAAGTTAACAAAGCACTCTCCTCTTTGCCCTAGCTCTTCCCACCTTTAATTTAAGAGGGTATCACATCTATGTTTGAGAGAGGGCATAGGCCATTGTGGAGGAAAAAATCACAGAAGAAAGGCATTTATATCCTTGTTGCAGGAGATGAGAAAGAACTCTTCCTGAGAAATTTCAACTCTGTCTCATTTCCTCTGCTCAAAAGTAAACTAACTGCTACCCCAATACCAGGTAAGTTTTGTGGACAAGATACAACAAGTAGCAGAAACTGATAAGGAAGAAAGCAAAAACAGAGAATCTCCCCTACATAGAAATGATGGCCTCCTGTAGGGGAAGCCAGAGGCCTCATGCTCGTTAGGCAGTGGCAGAGATTAAGGGAAACATTTGGCTAAAACTTTAATTTAACTGGCCAAATGAGGAAATCTCATTTGTGGACAATCGGAGTGATGGCTCAGGTAATTCCATCAAATACAAATTTCCTAAAGACAAAGGATACTCACTCTACAGTCCAGAATAGTTCTGTATTCCTAGGATCTCTGCCCAAGTGACGTTATGTCTCCTTGGTCTGAGATCTATTTCAGGCTTTGAAATCTCCTAGATACTAGAATAGCAAAGGAATATCAAGAATAACAGGGCATTCTATTTTTTTAAAGATTTTATTTATTTATTTGACAGAGAGAGAGATCACAAGTAGGCAGAGAAGCAGGCAGAGAGAGGGGGAAGCAGGCTTCCTGCTGAGCAGAGAGCCTGATGTGGGACTCAATCCCAGGACCCTGAGAATATGACCAGAATCAAAGGCAGAGGCTTTAACCCACTGAGCCAGCCAGGTGCCCCACAGGGCATTCTATTTGACACAGTGAGAGACTACAGTGTAAGCACAAGAAACAGCCTTTCTAAAATGCAAGGGGGTTACTGAGGAGTCCAAGGAAGAAGGCAGCAGTGGTTGTAGTGACTGAGCAGAGCACACTGACAGGATGCTTCCTACATCAACACATCAATTATGTACTTCAATCCATATCTGAAGGGATCCCCCTCTAAAGATGAAGATTGTTCTTTCTCCAGTTGGTGTTGGTATGGAGACCTGTTCAACCCACCCTGGTGAAACAGTTTGCTGACTAAATTTTAAAAACCACTGGTACCAGAAAAGATTCAGCACATTCTCTGTACTGGAAAACTTTGCACCAAAGAGAGGTATGACTATCTCAAGACTCTGACCAGCGATGTTCATATTGTAAGAGGAGTCTTTCATGAGAATCTGAATTATCCAGAACAAAAAGTTGTGACCGCTGGGCAATTCAAAATTGGTTTGATCCATAGGCAACAAGTTATTGCATGGGAGACATGGCCAGCTTAGCCCTGTAGTAGGGCAGTTTGATGAGGACATTCTTAACTCAAGATATACATACAAATTTGAAGCATTTGGGCATGAAAAAAATTTTAACATTAACCCAGATTCTGCCACTGAAGCATATAATTTCTTAGCAACAAACATTATTCCTTCATTTGTATCAATGGATATTCAGGCCTCTACAGTTGTCCTTTATATGTATCAGCTAATTGGAGATGATGTAAAAGTAAAAGGAATTGAATACAAAAACATCTTAAAGCCAGGCCTGTCTTGCTGCTTTTTTTTTATTCCCCTGTTCAAATCAAGTAATTAAGCATTTATGAACCACAAGATCATATCACTTTTATGATATTTTACAGTAAAATATAATATTGCTTTCTGTTAATACAATGTTCTAAGTTTCTTATAAACTATGAGAATATATGCCACTTCTTATTTTATTTCTATGAAAAAATGTCCACCATACAGTAAATGGTCATGTGTTAAGAAAAATGTACTCTTGCAAATACCCTCAGAGCTGATATTTGGAACTTCACTATAAAAACATAGTGCATGAGGAAATAGAATCTAGATTCTCTTGTATACATTTTTCTCTTTGGTAATAAACAGTTACCTTTCATTTATAAAAATAAACAAATAACACATAAAATGCAAAGTCAATGTACAGAAATCAGTAGCTTTCTTATACACTAACAGTGAAATACAGAAAGGGAAATTAGAGAATCGATTCCATTTACTATAGCACCAAGAACCATAAAATACCTGGGAATAAACCTAACCAAAGAGGGAAAGGATCTATACTCAAGGAACTACAGAACACTCATGAAAGAAATTGAAGAAGACACAAAAAGATGGAAGACCATTCCATGCTCTTGGACCGGAAGAATAACCATTGTTAAAATGTCTATACTGCCAGAGCAATCTATACTTTTAATGCCATTCTGATCAAAATTCCGCCAGTATTTTTCAAAGAGCTGGAGCAAATAATCCTAAAATTTGGATGGAATCAGAAGAGACCCCGAATCGCTAAGGAAATGTTGAAAAACAAAAATAAAACTGGCGGCATCACATTACCTGATTTCAAACTTTACTACAAAGCTGTGATGACCAAGACAGCATGGTACTGGCATAAAAACAGACACATAGACCAGTGGAACAGAGTAGAGAGCCCAGATATGGACCCTCAACTCTATGGGCAAATAATCTTCGACAAAGCAGGAAAAAATATACAGTGGAAAAAAGACAGTTTCTTCAATGAATGGTGCTGGGAAAACTGGACAGCTATATGTTGAAGAATGAAATCGACCATTCTCTTACACCGTACACAAAGATAAACTCAAAATGGATAAAAGACCTCAACATGAGACAGGAATCCATCAGGATCCTAGAGGGGAAAATAGGCAGTAACCTCTTCGATATCAGCCACAGCAACTTCTTTCAAGATATGTCTCCGAAGGCAAAGGAAACTAAAGTGAAAATGAACTTTTGGGACTTCATCAAGATCAAAACCTTCTGCACAGCAAAGGAAACAGTCAACAAAATGAAGAGGCAACCCATAGAATGGGAGAAGATATTTGCAAAGGACAGTACAGACAAAAGGTTGATATCCAGGATCTATAAAGAACTTCTCAAAATCAACACACACAAAACAGATAATCATATCAAAAAATGGGCAGAAGATACCCCTGGGGATAAAAATATATTATATGTTTATAAAAAATAAAATTTAAAAAAAAATGGGCAGAAGATATGAACAGACGCCTCTCCAATGAAGACATATAAATGGCTATCAGACACATGAAAAAATGTTCATCATCACTAGCCATTAAGGAGATTCAAATTAAAACCACATTGAGATACCACCTTACACCAGTTAGAGTGGCCAAAATTAGCAAGACAGGAAAGCAAGACATGTGCAAGACATGTGTTGGAGAGGATATGGAGAAAGGGGAACCCTCTTACACTGTTGGTGGGAATGCAAGTTGGTGCAGCCACTTTGGAGAACAGTGTGGAGATTCCTCAAGAAATCAAAAACAGAACTTCCCTATGACCCTGCAATTGCACTACTGGGTATTTACCCCAAAGATACAGATGTAGTGAAAAGAAGGGCCATCTGTACCCCAATGTTTATAGCAGCAATGGCCACAGTTGCCAAACTGTGGAAAGAACCAAGATGCCCTTCAACGGACGAATGGATAAGGAAGATGTGGTCCATATACACTATGGAGTATTATGCCTCCATCAGAAAGGATGAATACCCAACTTTTGTAGCAACATGGACAGGACTGGAAGAGATTATGCTGAGTGAAATAAGTCAAGCAGAGAGAGTCAATTATCATATGGTTTCACTTATTTGTGGAGCATAACAAATAGCATGGAGGACATGCGGAGTTAGGAGAAGGCATCTGGGGGAAACTGGAAGGGGAGGTGAACCATAAGAGACTATGGACTCTGAAAAACAATCTGAAGGGTTTGAAGAGGTGGGGGCGTGGGAGGTTGGGGGAACCAGGTGGTGGGTATTAGAGAGGGCACGGATTGCATGGAGCACTGGGTGTGGTACAAAAACAATGAATACTGTTATGCTGAAAATAAATTTAAAAAATGATTAAAAAAAACAATACTGTTACACTGAAAAGAAATTTAAAAAATAAATAAATAAATAAATAAAAACATAAAATGCAATGGACCAGCCAGAGAAATAGAATGACTTAGCATCAAGTATGTTACGTGACATTCACAATGAGGCTGATAATTTTGCATTGTCAAATCATCTAGACAATGCCTCCCCTGGCCCTTCTCCTCAGGCCTCTTCTGAAATTTTCACTGAAGCTGAAGCACATACAAATCTGGTGGTCAAGGAAAGGGAGCTTTAGTGCTTCCAAATCCAGCTTTATGTCTTCACTCCAGAATGTTATTCTCATGGTGAACTCAAGTTCAGGAGATAGAAAAGTCTGTATCTTTTAATACCAAATCCTCCTTTGCCCAAAGGCATGACTTACTGAATAAGCCCCAACTGTAAGGAGGACAATGCCCTCACTGTTGTTAGTTGCCATCTTTCTTTGCTAGACTGGCCTCCTGCCTCTATCTTTACTAGGACCTAGAAGGGGGGCATATGGTGGTTGGTCATTTCATAATGAGGAACTAGAGACCTTACCATTGGAGAGGAATAAGAAAGCAGTGAGAAAGTGTCAATGGGATCTCCTACCTCTATCACTATATTCTGAGCTCAAAAGTATGAAGATTTCATTTTTTGTTTTACTGCTTTTCCTCTGTTTCATTCTTCAATTCACTTTTTCCATTTCCTTTATATTTTACCTGAACTAACTTTTGAGGCTATCTTCATAAACTTGACACAAACAGCAATAAAACTTCACTTCAAATGTTTCCTTAGTCCTACATGAGAACTTCTATAGTGGCAAGACCACCATACTTGGAAGCAGGAAACCCAGGCTATAGACCTAACTCTGTCACTTCTATTTGTGACATCTAGTAAGTCACCTAACTTTTTTGACATTCCATTCCCTCATGAGTATAATAAGGATAAGAATACATTATCCCACATATATCACAGAGATCACATGGCTAAGGATCAAACAAAAGTGAATGTTCAAGTCTTATGATGTTTGTATCATTACTATTTTTTCTTCTCCAATCTACCTTATAATAAGACAAATAAATCTGCTACCTGATCTTGGAAGTAGCCATTCATAGCAGAGGGCTCCCATAAGCTTAGACATTTGAAATCTGCAGCTTAGAACTTAGAAGTTTTCACTAATCATCCCTGACAGGAGGATTGGGAAATGTTGTCCATTTCTCTGCTGGGATCTGTTGCAAGTTGTAGGCTTTTCTTGCTCATCTGTTTCTATCTCCATTGGCTTTTTGTCTTTAGGAAGGCACATTTGACACTCCTCTTTTCCTCTTTTCCTAAACCAACATCAAGGATGGAAAGACCTCTGTTCTCCTTCACTCTCTTCTCTCTCTTACTGGAGGACTTCATGAGCCTCTGATGAATGAGTTGGGCAGGGACTACACTTGATTGTAGCATAGCAATCATAGCAATGTTGCCTAGCATCTACTATATCCCACTCTGTTCTTTGGCCCCAGGACTGCATGTTTTTGCATCATGCTCCAGCATTAAAGACAAGGCTGAGACTAATGGCAGTGCCTCTAGGGCACAGTTGTTATCCTGCCAACTGATGCCTTTGTACACTTCCTCACAACACAGTTTAGGCTTCAGCTGAGAAACATCAGGATTACATCTGGGATATCTGAAGGACTATACCAGCTACATCACCTTTTGAGCATCATGTTTCCTGTTGCTGGAGTCTGTTCCTTCCTCCAGATGCCCTAGAGCTCCTGTAATTCCTCAACACCCTTTCCTTCCATGGCTATCACCTGAATTATAGACATAATATCCATTTGCCAATCAACCTTATTCATATAACCCTGAGGCATAGCTGTCTAACAGAGAGGGAACTGCAAGGGCTCTTCCCAAACCTTCTCCCTGGTTCCTCTCCTACCACCAGCCTTGATCCATGGACCCCTCTCCTAGAGGTGCTGGATCTGTCTGCAGACCTGAGTTGAGCTGGGTGCATGGCAGAGCTCTACATGGCCTTGAGCTCTACTTCCTGAGACTGAATGGCACTCCACTGAGTACATTAGAATGAGACTCAGGGCTGTTCCACTTGGACTCTTTCTCCATTGTGGAGACAGATACAGAAGAACTGTCGGGAAGTGGGGCAGGCTACTTTGAGCTTTGTGTACTTGCCCTTCACAGAAACCAAATCCAAAACACAGAGGAAAGGGATCACCCAAGCTGACACTCACTAGAACTCCTCAGCCTTCATGTCAGTGACCTGCAGTTACCTCCCTTCAAGTTCCTAAGTGCCCTAACCCAGCTTCAGAGGCTCAATCTGTCAATGAAGAAGCTGGGTCCAACCTTGGTTCTCCCAGGACTGATTAGCTCAAATCTGAGAATGCTTCATCTGTCCCCCAATGATCTATATGTTCTGCCATATAGGGTCTTCTCCTCAATTCTTCAACTCCAAGGGCTCTGAATGAATGTTAACTACATCTCCAACTTATCTAGTAAGAACCCAGAGGGGCTACCATAGCTGAAGACCTGAGATCTGAGTTGGAACCAAACTAAGATGTTAAAGCCAGGCTGGCTCTCCTCTCTTCCTGCCCCTACCTCACTGACACTCTGAGCACCCATTTAGAGCATAGTTCAGGCAGGCGGTACCAAGGTTCCCAGAAGCTGAGCCATCTGCTGCTGGATTCTCTTGAGATGCTGGATATCTATCTTCCCTGGCT